GAAATATTTTTCTTCACGTCAGTGATAGATTTTTTAAGCCAAGAGTATATTTTTTTCAAGTTAAAGATATGATTTTTTGAGTTGTTAATAAATTAATGAATGTCATATTTTTTTATTACATTTTTCTTATTTTTAGCTGTAAAGGGTTGTTTTATCATATATAACCGAAAAATATGCAATTGTGGTAAAGAGACCAAGGGTGGGCGCCTTGCCCCAAGCACATGGGCCCATTGCCATAGGAGTGGGGCAACGGGCCCATTTTGACACTTTTTACAAAATAGTGTTTCATTAAAAATTGAATAACTCTCTAGGCGTCTAATTCACATCATACATTCCTCAGTTGTACCTTTAAACAGAACAAAGAACCACCTCGTATCAGTTAAAACTTCATCAAAAATTTAGTTTAAAAAAAGGAGGGGGCGCGCTGCCCCATTGTTACCCTACGTGTATTATGTAAACATCGTCGTAAATTGTAGCCAGAAAGACTGATTTAATCAGCATCGTTTACGGTCAATGAGTTTCGTGTCGCCACCCTTGCCAAAGGGAGGCGACGTAACGTAAAGGGTCCTACGTAAAAAAAAATTAATACCTATTACAAATGTCAGCATGATCTTTAGGCAAGGCTTCAGAAACTTAGAAGAAACTTGGTGCTGAATAGAATAGAAGTGTCGGCACTGAAGAAATAGGCCCATATGGCCTGTTGCCGATTCTTGTACTTTTCGTGACTTGATTCACAAGGGATCCGGCCTTTGGAACCCGATCTTTCCATAACTGACGATTGATTGAGATAGCTGCATGCTGGACTTATTGCCTGGTCCGTAAGTTGCTAGGCATTTTAAGACTTAACATATGCATCTGCATAGCTTCGACTAGTCTGCTCTTAAATGGTGTAGTTAGCATCGGTTGCTACTTCATGTTTAGCTCAGAAATATTCCTACCAATAATAAAAGTGTGGTTAGCTTCAGTTGCGTCAAATAAGTCCTGTCACCGATTAAATGGACATCGAGGAATTATCACAGCTCTCTGGGTTTTCTATAACACGCAGCTCACTGCTCCACTATATAATGGCACTCAGGCACTGTAACCGAACGGCCGAGTTAAACACATGACAATAGTGAGTGACAGATATATTGAGTGGCAGGTATATTGAGTGGCAGGTATATTGAGTGGCAGGTATATTAAGTGGCAGCACCTAATATATTCATAGCGCGCATTACTCTCTAACACCGATTGGTGCTGGGTTCTGATTTAATGTATGATCTCAATTTGGCGTAATTTCTATAAAAATTGAAAAATAATTCTATTTAAAATTTCTGTTATTAAATGAATATCATGAATCACAGAAATTGCCGTTTATTGAAAATGCTTTATTATTGAAAATCCCATCTAGAAAATAAGTGATGTCTGGAATCTCATAGATAATTTTATTTCACGTCGAGATCTAATGAGAACTTTGAGATTGTTTTGTGCATTTTATTTTCCAAAGCCCGTACTAAGACAGCGAGAAGATCTGTTGAGCTGACACAACTGAACCGAGAAGCGGCGAGCCGGAGCCCAAACTCCGGACATATGATAATGCAGATTTAGGAGCGTGAATATGCCTCATATTCGCCCTTGAAATTCACAAGTACCTACGAATTTATCGCATATATATGACAAAAATTGAAAAAAGCTGTGATGTTACAGACATCACTTCTACGTATATAAGAGACGACGACTGTGATGTTACGGGCAGCACTTCTACGTATATAAGAGACGACGGCTGTGATGTTACAGACAGCACTTCTACGTATATAAGAGACGACTGTAATGTTACAGGCAGCACTTCTACGTATATAAGAGACGACTGTGATGTTACAGGCAGCACTTCTACGTATATAGGAGACGACGGNACAACATGCTGTTCAAAGCTAGACTACATGCCTGTCTCTTATACACATCTAGATGTGTATAAGAGACAGGCTGTGATGTTACGGGCAGCACTTCTACGTATATAAGAGACGACTGTGATGTTACGGGCAGCACTTCTACGTATATAAGAGACGACTGTGATGTTACGGGCAGCACTTCTACGTATATAAGAGACGACGGCTGTGATGTTACGGGCAGCACTTCTACGTATATAAGAGACGACGGCTGTGATGTTACGGGCAGCACTTCTACGTAAGTAAGAGACGAAGGCTGAGAATGAATGACGGTAAAAACATGTTAAGACTAGCCTATTCAATAGAATCATATCGGTAACTAAAACATTGTTATTTTGCCACAAAACTTTGTTCGCTGCGAAAGAATTTGACAAACTGTAATTAGTTAATTTAAAATTCATTCAATAAAAGATTATGGAAAAATTGGTGCATGAATAGGTGGTCTCCATGCGTTGTATGAGATTCTTTGCTTATGTTACAGAGGCTTCAATAAAAAGCATGTAAAAAGTCTTTTATTGACATGCATGAATATCTTGCCTTATTAATACAACGTCTACAACAAAAATGTTTTGAACTCTGCCTTTAATAATTTATTTTTAGTGCGCTAGTTATTTAGCGCAGGTCTGTTTTGAAAATTTACCTACAGACATGCTTTATTGTGAATTTCTGGTACCATTATTTCATGTGGAACAAAAGGATAAGGTTTATTATTAATAATCAGAATATATATTATGAATTTATAGTTTACATGACCAATCCAAGGCGTAACTTAGACTCGCTGCTCGTAATCAGAAAAGACAAATCGTAGATTTTCATTTGTGGATTTTCATTCATTTCATTTCAACGCGTGGATTTTCATTTGTTCGAATCCCAACCCAAACAATTCCTGCAGTGGCCAACCGTTCTCATATAAAAATTTCTGATGTAAATTTTACCAATGAAAATTTTTTTATATATACGAAAATTGGCATCGACTTTATGTATCTGTGGAGCCTGAGTTATGCATGCAAGATGCCCGTTATGTGATGCTTAGACTGAGTTATGCGTGCCAGATGCCCGTTATGTGATGCTAAGCCTGAGTTATGCATGCAAGATGCTCGTTATGTGATGCTATGCCTGAGTTATGCATGCAAGATGCACGTTATGTGATGCTAAGCCTGAGTTATGCATGCCAGATGCCCGTTATGTGATGCTATGCCTGAGTTATGCATGCATGATGCACGTTATGTGATGCTAAGACTGAGTTATGCATGCAAGATGCCAGTTATGTGATGCTAAGACTGAGTTATGCATGCCAGATGCCAGTTATGTGATGCTAAGACTGAGTTATGCATGCCAGATGCCCGTTATGTGATGCTAAGCCTGAGTTATGCGTGCCAGATGCCCGTTATGTGATGCTAAGCCTGAGTTATGCGTGCCAGATGCTCGTTATGTGATGCTAAGCCGTAGTTTTGCACGAGTTCCTGTTATTTTGGTCAATTAACTCCAATTGTATGAAAAAAAAAGAAAATTGACACAAATCTTTTCGTCACAAAGCATAGAAAATTGAAAGCTAAACGTCTGATCAGAGTGCAATGAGTAAAGTTCAAGATAATGGAATGTATCATTGAATGAAATAAAATATTTAAATAGGACGAGTTGAGTGATGATATTTTCACAAGAAGATCATAAGTAATCTGGTAAAAGTTTTTAGTTATGGCTAGCTGATCTGACGGTTAAATGCAAGATGTGTTCAAGGTATCGCTCATTGTCCATCTAATTATTCAATTAGGAGGACAAGCTTGCATGTGTCCGACAAACCTAAACCACAGGTGACAATCTCCCGTATAATTATTTACAAATCTAAGCGTAGAAGAGGCGTGTCTCTGATCATGGCAATCAAAGTGGGATTTATCATTAAGGGAATATATCCATGGCCGGGATCACGCGCCATTACTTAGGCGTGATGGAGTAACGAAAGATTGCGTATCTTTCATGTATCTGTGTATCTTAAGCATAATATTCTGGCGTGAAATGAGGCTAACGATGTTTCATATCAAAGCAAACGAAGACCACAAGAAAAATTGCCAGATTGCCAGCATAGAGGCTGCTTTGGCAGAATATGTACATAAAAACGACATGAACTGTAAATACCATTAACATGAGGTAAAATAATTCGACTCAAAGTATATGAACGTAAAGGTTGATATAGCAGTGAAAATCAGTCTACGAGTATTTAAACTTTGCATCTTGATGAGAGAAAGAAAATATTGATGACACTATTTATATCATGATGAGATATATAGAGTCTTGATGAGATATATATATAAATATAGAGTCTTGATGAGATATATATAAATATCTTCATGAGACTACATGCATCGCATAACTATTGACATCACAGAACTATTGACATCACAGAACTATTGACATCACAGAAGTATTGACATCACAGAAACTATAGAGTGTTATGGTAGGCGCTATAGAGTGTTATGGTAGGCGCTATAGTGTTATGGTAGGCGCTATAGTGTTATGGTAGGCGCTATAGAGTGTAATAGTAGGCGCTATAGTGTTATGGTAGGAGCTATAGAGTGTTATGGTAGGCGCTATAGAGTGTTATGGTAGGTGCGCGGGTGTATGAAGCGTTTGTGGCGGTGGTGGTGGTGGTGGTGGTGGTGGTGGTGGTGGTGGAGCCGAGTGTTGTGGGCATCCCGACAAGCGGCGATGAGGCGGCCGAGAGACTGGCCGCAACAGCTTGACTCCGCCCAGTCTTGTGCTGAGCTCACAAGATGCTCTTCCAGAGAGTCTTTCAGCTTCCATCCAGTTCCTCTTGTGTCGGTGAGAGAAGAGGTTTGTGTGTCGCTACCTGGCCCTAAGTTTTAGCTTCGTAGCCCCGCTGTCGTGGTAGTTGTAGGTTGGTAGATCCCGTCCGCGGTGAAGTTGTGTCAAGTGCAACAGTGATGGTGCGGTGGGGTACAAGTGTAGCCGGAGAACCTGCATGACCATGTGTGGGGCCTCTGCTACACACTGCGGTGGCCTCTTTCATTCTGTGAAAAGTTTATAATTGGTTTTCATGATTTGAAAATTTTGTAGAAAATGGCGGTGCACAAATCCACAATGCTCAGACTAGTTTTAATTTTAGTTCTACAATGTTTATTATCCAATGGGCAAGGACCAGGCCCTGGACCCGGCTTATTAAATCGGCTAGTTTTAAGAGACACGATGCAATCTCGTTCAGTGGACACTAGACTTAATTTTACAGTGCTTGAGGGGCAGCCAGCCGGCACCTCCATCGGCTTCATTCCGACCAAGCCTGGTTTTACCTATCGTTTCAACGAGGTTCTTAAAGAATTCACACTCAATGGCTCCACGGGCGAGATCCACACCGCTAAAATATTGGACAGGGAAGCATTGGCTACTGATAAATTTGATTTAGTTATATTATCGTCTCAGCCCACATACCCAATTGAAGTGAGGATAGTTGTCCTCGATATCAACGACAATGCGCCCAGATTTCCTGAGCCATCTATACGGGTTTCTTTCTCGGAAAATGCAAATGCAGGCACACGTGTAATTTTAGACACGGCCACTGATGGCGATGCTGGTGAAAATGATATCACCACAAGTTACAGAATAGTGGACGGCAACGACGACGGAAAATTTAAACTGGAAGTAATAACCAATCCTTCTGGAGAAACCCCGTATTTGCATTTGGAAACCGTTGAAAAACTCGATACGGAAACCCGCTCTTCGTATCAACTGAATATTTCTGCTCAAGATGGTGGTACACCTCCTCATTTTGGATTTTTACTAGTCAACGTCTCGATTCTAGACGTGAATGACAATTCCCCTATATTCGATTACGGAGAATATAACGTGACACTTAGTGAATCAGTCCCTCCTGGGACATCAGTGCTGCAGGTGCGGGCAACTGATGCTGACTCTTTGGAAAACGCTCGGATTACGTACCACCTTGCTGAAGCAGAAACTCAGTTCAGCATCGATCCACAAACTGGAATTATAACTACCGTTGAAAGACTTAAATGTCATCGGAATTGCCCAGATGCCTCGCAATGTGCCAAGAGTTGCGTATTCACGGTGCATGCCCGAGATCATGGATCACCTTACCAAGACGGCAGAACCTATGTCACTGTGAACCTCCAGGACGCCAATGACCACAACCCAGTGGTGAGCTTCACGTATTTTCCGGCCAATGCTGAGTTTGCTACAGTGGACGAGAATGCCAAGAATGCATCCACAGTTGCAGTTGTATCCGTGCTTGACGCCGACGAAGGGTTCAACGGAGAAACGACTGTGGAGATTGCAGGAGGAAATGAGCTGAATCACTTTAGACTGGAGTCAAAATCTAACTACGATCTCGTACAAGTTAATGGGGTTCTTGATCGGGAAAAAATAAGCAAATATAATGTCACAATTGTCGCCACAGACATGGGCTCTCCTCCTCGATCCTCAACCTCTTTCTTGATAATCTACGTGAATGATATTAATGATCATGCTCCAGTTTTCGAAAAAAGCGAATATTCTGCAGTTCTAAGTGAACTGGTACCTGTTGGAACATACGTTGCGGGTATTACTGCAAATGATGAAGATACTGGCGTAAATTCCAACGTTTACTATGCCATCACTTCAGGAAATAATAATCGATGGTTTGATATTGACACCGAAAGCGGCCTCATAACCACAAAAGCTCCTCTAGATCGTGAAGTTCAAGATTCTGTGGATCTAAAAATTTCAGCCAGAGATGGAGGACCGAACCCGAAACGGGCATATACGTATTTGAAGATAACAATTTTAGACGCCAATGATGAAAAACCAACGTTCTCTGAATCACTAGTCCACGCAAGTCTCTCAGAAAGTGCTGCTCCACACACACTCGTAGCTCAAGTATCAGCTGTCGATAGAGACCAAGGCACAAACGGAAGCGTGTCATACATTTTCAGTGAAGAGGTCGAACTAAAGTATCCAGGTGTATTTTACTTGGACTCTTCAAGCGGTCGAGTCACGACGCGGAGCAAGTTGGACCGAGAAGCCATGCCTCAGTACGATATAACAGTGGAAGCTCGTGACAGAGGCATTCCGCCCCTCTCATCGACAGCAACTGTTAGACTTACAGTGAAAGATGTTAATGATAATAGTCCCGAGTTTTATCCACAGCAATATTTTGTGGCTGTGGCTGAAGACAATCCGATAGGTTCGTCGTTGGTACAAGTTTCGGCAACAGATAAAGATGAAGGGGAGAATGCAGAAATAAGTTACGAACTTACGAGTGGCCCAGACAACGAGAACACTTTCGCTATCCATCCTCAAACAGGTGTTTTAACTTTGAGTGGTCGATTGAGTCGAGTAAGAAAGTCTAAGTACCGATTGACTGTCGCGGCAAGAGACAAAGGAGACCGCAAAGCAACGAAAGACGCTGTCATAGAAATTTTGATCGAAGATAATCAAAGCGAACTTCTAGAATTTGAGAGCGATCTCTACTCATTTGAGGTATCAGAAGATGCGGGTCAGAGTGCTGATACTTTTGTTGCAAGAGAAGTTGGTACCGTGTCCATCAAAGATGCTGCTCGAGTAGGAGAATCGACTTACGCTATTGTCGCTGGGGATCCTGATGCAACGTTCTCGATAGATAAAAAAACCGGGGTGATAAAAACTGCTAAACATCTAGATGGCGAGCAGCGGTCTTTCTATTCATTAAAAGTAGTGGCAGTGACGGCCGATATTTACGGGCACACCACGATCAATATTACGGTGAACGATATAAATGACAATCCTCCAAAATTCCCAACCAAACACGCTCGAGCAACCGTTAAAGAAAATTGGCCTGTTGGGCACCAAGTGTTTTTAGCAGAAGCTTCTGATCCAGATTTAGGGAAAAATAGCGACGTGACTTACACTTTGACCGCCAATCCTAGAAACTATTTCTCGATCTCGAAGAAAAGTGGAATGATCTATCTTGATAAACCTGTGAAATATGGTGTTATTGATACATTTCGATTGGAAGTTACGGCTACGGATGACGGTGTGCCACCACTTTCTTCACGTCAGATTGTCGTAGTAACGGTCGAGGACGTTAACGATCATACCCCAATTTTTGAGCATGGTTCCTATGAGACGTCCTTGTTTGAATCCATTCCTGTGAATGACCGATTTTTCGCCCTCACGGCAACTGATGAGGACAGCGGCTTGAATGGATTCGTGTCTTATAATATTACAAGTGGGAATGATGATCAGAAATTCGGAATATTTCCTGATGGATATCTATACATTCGAAGCTCTTTGGACCGAGAAAATAAAGATTATTATGCGTTGACCATAGTTGCTCAGGATCACGGAGAGCCTCCTCGCTCTGCAACAGTATTGGTTGTTGTACATATCTTGGATGAGAATGATAACGCGCCAGTGTTTACGAACAAAACCTTTGATTTCTATTTAGCTGAAAATGCGCCTCCTGACACTTATGTTGGGCGTTTCACTGCTACCGACCAGGACAAAGGCAGGAATGCTGAACTGACCTACGCTATTTCCACCAATCAGCAACAATTTTTGGTCGATCCGAAGAGCGGATTCCTGAAAACTCTGAATTATTTTGACAGAGAAAAACTTGTGCATGTGACTGGACAAGACTATATTACCATGGAAGCGGTTGTTGTGGATAATGGCATTATAAAACTAAAAGATAAAGCAAAAGTGAACATCTTTATTACTGATGTGAACGATAATTCACCGAAATTTTCAAAAAAGTCTTACAAAGCTGAAGTTTTCGAAGGGGCTGCCGTTGGTACTCCCATCATCCGACTCGCTGCTAATGATGCCGATCAAGGCTTAAATGGCGATATAATTTATACTTTAGTTGACGGAAATGAAGAGAGCCGTTTCCAAATCGATGGAGTTACTGGTCAGGTTGCTTTGTCTCGCCAATTAGACAGAGAAACCACACCTCTCTATCTCCTGACGGTTGCAGCATCTGATTTGGGGTCACCCGAGCCTCTCACGGCCACTACAACCTTATCTGTACATGTGCTTGATGAAAACGACAATAAACCTGTCTTCACGCATCTGGAGTCGGAAATATCAGTATTAGAAACTACTGCAATAAACACAGTATTAGTACAGTTTCAGGCAAGCGATGCTGACGTTGGAATTAACCAAGAAGTTTCTTTCATGATTGGTGGCGGTAATATTCAGGAAGTTTTCAAAATAGATACAAGAAGTGGCACTTTGTACCTCGAAAAACCACTTGATTACGAACACAGAAACACGTACAGTCTGAACATAACAGCTGCCGATGGTGGTTCTCCACGACTGACGTCTACAATTGAGTTTATTGTTAGAGTTCTCGATTACAACGATAATGCGCCAAGTTTTCCAAATACCACTATCGTTAGACAGATTCAAGAAGGCATACCTTACAAAACCACAATCGTAACTGTCAAAGCCCATGATCCCGACTCGGGCTTGAATGGAAAAATTTCGTATGCCATCAAGAACCAAGATCCACCGGGTCGTCATTTTGAAATCGAAGAAGATACGGGTGTAATCTATACTATCCGAGACATTGATAGGGAATTCAATGACACTTTCATGCTGACTGTGGTTGCAAGTGACCAAGCGGAACCTGTTTCTAGTCGGCTGTCCGCAGAGAAGCTTGTCACAGTTGTTGTGGAAGACATAAACGATAACGCGCCCGTATTTGTATCTATGAATGCAGGGCTTCTTCCTGAGAACTCCCGCAAGGATCAGAAAATAATGCAAATTTCTGCTAATGATGTCGACGCTAACACCAACGGTTTGGTTACTTATGAGATTGTGGGTGGCAGTGCGATGGATGTGTTCTATTTAGACAGAGTGACGGGATCACTTCGTCTCAGGAAAGATATTTCATCCCCGGAACTCTTCTATCGTGTCACTGTTCGATCAACAGACGAAGCTGTCCAGTCACAAAGGAAGTCATCCGATGCTTACCTAACTATACTCGGGATGTCTTCCCAAGAAGGCCCACGCTTCACACAAAGTTTTTACACCGGCTCCGTAGTAGAAAATTCGGCAATCGGTACATCAGTTGCCACAATTGAGTCCCACATGACCACCAATGATGCCGACGAAATCAGCTACTTTGTGGTGAACATTACAAGTGATGATGGGCGCCTCATGGAGAGGTTGTTTGATGTTCAGCAGAAGGGAGTTCTAGCAACAGCCGCTGCTCTGGATCGAGAATCTGGACCTGACGTGTACCTCGTCACAGTTGCAGCTGCGGTCTCCAAAACCACAACGCCGAGGGTCTCCCTTACTCAGGTAAGCGACGCTCTTAACTTCGATAGTCATTGAAATTTAATATTATTGCTTGCACGGTCTGCCTGTTCAATTTAGTTCTGCGATATGAAAATAAAATTTCTGAAAATCCCAAGGAGAGTTGAATAATAATTCTTCAAGCTGGTCAGTACTATTAGGTTAATATTTTGATTGAACACTATAAACAGATTCAACAGGGACCAAGCTGTTAACGCGTGCGATCATAAATATTTTATACCTGCAAACAATATCGTGTTTGTCTTCATTTCATTTTTACAATGGTGCCGCACAACTATCAACGCTATGTAGCTTGTGGCACTGGACATATGTAACAGTCTATCGCAACAAAATATATGCACGCTCTCTTAGTTCATTTTGAATAAAGACCTAGGGTTATTAAGTGGAAAGAAATAACAATGTATAATGATCTTGAGTACTTAAGATGTGAGGCTTGAAAGTAGGCACTTGTGTATCTGGGCTAAATACAAGTTATTATTAATCACACTTGGTCGCAACCAGTAGCAATCTTCAGCAAAACTAATCCTTTGTAACCGAACGCGCGTTCCCATTACTTGCCTTTTATGGCAACCGCTTGATAAGTTTTAGGGCGTCGCAAAACCTGGCCATTCTGCGCACGCATCAACATCAGAGCTTCTTGCACCTTCTCTGAACACTGACTTGTTGCAGCTGTATTTCATTTCTTCGAACAAACTCACTTCATTTACTATTGTTGTATTCTCATTGCATCTTACAATTTACCGAGTTTCCGTCGTCGCTCTGCTTGTCTTGTTCAATTCGCTCCTTATCTCCACACTTGTTATCCTTGGGGTACAGTCTTGTTGGTGCAGCGATGAAGCGTCCAATTAAATTCGAACATCGAGTTTTAATTTAATCTCAATTCGGTTTATAAGGATGCAAGATTATAAATTATTCCACTGCCGAGTTTTAATATTTTGTAGCAAAATAACTTTTCTAACATGAATTAGACAATACTGATAATTGTTCAATGACCAATACGCTATTGAACCAAAGACGCGATCTATGTATATATTCTGAACATATTTAATTATGAAAGATGAAGAATTTTATAACTATACTCATCCTGTCATCCTTATACTTACTCAATGGTGTACCGATAATTAGAAATATGTCAAATAAGCTCATAAGCTGGAGCCTAATGAATTAGATCAATTTAGTGACCATGTAAGACAACCTGAGAGCAAAGATTATTATAAAAAAGCCTGAGAGAAAGGAACATCAAAGGTGGGACATAGAATGTTGAATGGAACTTTGGTTTTGACGGAGTTAACCCCTACACACGACAAACACAAGCACTTAACGACAAAATTTAAAGCTCTCGACCAATACTCTGCTGAACCAAAAAGGTTAAGTACTAACGATAGGCTCACTATTAAAAAATTTAACTCAGTGCTCACTGCAGTGAGTGACAGAGCGCTCATTTTCTCGTCGACGAAAACGTGGAGTCACGGACGGACAGACAGACAGACGAACAGACGGACATGGCGAGCACAATAGCGCATTTTTTTCCATAAATAAGAAAATGCGCTAAAAAGCATTGCACAAAACTCAGATGTATTATCTCGCTTCCAGACTTCATTCGGATAGGAACCGCGACAATGAGTAGAATAATTTTCAAAACGTTCTGTTTCCACACCGCATATTGTGCATGTTTGAGTTCTGTACATGTTGAAACATAGTGTGTTGATGTGGTGCGAATGTGTTTCAGAAAAGTAGCATGTATGTTAACAGAAAGTGTTACGTCCGTCGAAGTGTTGCGTGTGTCGAAGTGTTGCATATGTCGAAGTGTTGCTTATGTCGAAGTGTTGCATATGTCGAAGTGTTGCTTATGTCGAAGTGTTGCTTATGTCGAAGTGTTGCATATGTCGAATAGTTGCGGACGTCGAAGTGTTGCGTATGGAGACGCACCACAGCAGCTGGGAACGCTTGCACGGCCAGGGCCACAACAAATCATTCGTCAGAGGTGCGAGTGATTCCCTCCATTAGCGCTTGGAGTTTTTGTTTCCACTTCGTTTCGTGACGCCCGAGATTCCCGAAACTTCTAAAAATATGTAAAAAATAGTTTTCTCAGCACTCGTTTACATTGATAAAATTGATGTATCTGCTGTACACCATGAGACTTGGTGACGGTGTTCATGAAAATTGACGTTTCATCTTCAAAAGCGATAGAAACTAATATGCCTTTTGACTTACAGAAATTTATGAAACCAGAAAAATGTTGATTTCTAATAAAAATTTCGTTTCAAATTATGCAAGACGAAGTTTTTTTGCTCAGTTAATACAATACTGGCAAGATTTTCATGTTTCTTTGTCTAGACGTTGGTTCAGAATGGTGGTCTTATTATGAAGCACCTCGTGCTTTATTACCATATCAGTTCGCTGCCGCCAAATATGATGAGTATGTTTACGGGTATGTCTGCTCAGCGACAGTTTCTTTTGCCCCCCGAGGCTGGCTACGAAAGCGGTGCGTGGGAGTGACGTATGCCTCGAGATCAGGTAAAAATGTAATTGTGTGTCGGTATGCAAGTGGGTAGGGACGGAGACCGGCCTCGAGCTTGGTATGCCAGACGCAGAGAAGCAGTCCGTGGTAGAGCTGGAAGCTGTCCGTATGAGAACAGCGAGAGAAAAAGAACACGGACGGACAGCTACGGAGGAATATGCTGGCCCGAACGAGCGGGCGATCCTAAGGAATGCTGGGTCTGTGCAAGCATCTTTGCCTCGAACGCCACCTACAAATCCGCCTCTACTGCTCATGTCTTCTCGTTCTTGGGCTGCCGAGCGTGCACATCAGATGAGCCCAGTAATTTACGCATTCTCGTCTCGGGCGTGCATCCCCTTTATTAATTTCTGATATTTCAGAGTAATAAAAAAGTAAAAGTTTATGACGCCAATGGTAAGATCCTGATTTTTCTAAATAGATTTGAAGAAGGGATAGCTACGACTGGCGATGGTCCTGTAGTAAGAGGTTAATACTGAATGTTGTGTTCAGCCAGGCCAGCCGGCAGTCTGCCTCTTGCTAGGTCCTAAGGTCTTACCACGGCGGGTCTCTCATCAGCTCGAGTTGCCAGATGTTGCTCGATGATGGGCTAACTTTATTTTCTTGACATTTTTTGCATGTTTTGTTCCAAATGTAATTATTTTTTAGTGCTTTTTAATATCAAAGCTTGAGCAACTGAGTGTTTCTTGAGACCAAATTACATTGGAATGCTCATGCTTAAGAAAATTTGGGAAATTTTCCTCAAGAGTACCTTTAGTCACCTCGATCGAGTTCTATGGTCAATTTATGCAAGAGATAAATTGAGAGTTGGGGCCATGTTGCGCTATGTGGCAATTGCTTGGAGTGGCCGAGGTTAAGGTACCAACTCTGCCATACACACGTCTTTAAATTTTCATTAAGTTTGCTCGTCTATTTGATTTTTAGTTATACGTTTGTAAGTGATATCAGAGATGCAGACATGACTTGTTTTTCTTCATTACCAACTATCGTCTCTGTTTTTGATGCAATCGCATAGATAAAACTTAGTTTCAAGCTTAACTAAACAGCATGCAGCACCTCTGCTCTCTCTCTAGTCTACCTGTGCCTTCCTTCGGCCTCACCAAGCGCCTCCATAATTAATATTCTCTAAAAGCTTCCCTATATCATGCTGGTCAGATGATATCCATTATCTACGTTTATGAGTCGTTTCCAGCCCACAGATTAGGTTTATTGTAATAACTCGTCGATTCTGCCACATCGCACATATATTCAACTGACATTCACATTAACTTTATTCCTATCAGTAGCAAATTAAATGAGCATCAGCAGTTTGAGAAGTCCTTGGACATAATTTTGCCTCGATTTAATGTGCTGTAAATTTGTCTCGCGTTAAGAAGAAAAATATCCTGCTTCTTTTGAACGAATGAATGCGAATGATTTAGCGAACACAATTGCGTGAAAAATAAAAGAATGAGTAAGACAATAATTTTAATTCTCATGAGTTGAATGCGAATGAAAAATTATATTTTGAGATCGGTATAGTTCGACATGCCGTTTCACGGTTTACTCATAATTACGTAATTTGAATTGATAATATTTGAATCGCCTAATTATTATTTGCATTAGTTATTATTAATTATACATATCGCCGTATCCACTAAATAGTGATATAGTAAGTATGTGCGGGATAGTGAGCAGTACAGTTCAAAATACAGTTCTTATATGATCGAATGCTGAGATGAAAATCACGTCTAAAGTTAGTTCTCTCCTTAAAACAACATATAACTCCTATTTCAAATATGTGGTTGGGCCTCTTTTAGTGTAAATGTAGCTTAAAATCTTGAAATAGCCGCGTAATCTTGGGTTTGGACGACCGGGTTCAGGAGCAGTCGTGGCAGTGATGTCCAGAGAGACGTGTCGTGGCACACGACGTCACGAGCATCTATCTTATGGCGATCTTTCTTTATCAGACCTCGCATAGATTCCCTCCATTGCTAACTAACGAGCGGTTTGTTTTCGGCTGCTTTATCCAACAAAAAGTGAGAATAAATATCTTGATATTACAGACAGGATGTTCTTCGTACCGCAAAGATGTTCCAGTAACCGCGATAGGCCTGCCCGTCGAAACTATTTATTTTCTGTTGTAGCTTCAGAATTGGGATTAAGGAATAACTCTCCTGAGCTAACGCGATAAATTGTGATGCAGCTGTGGACACACAGAGATGGGTTACTGCAGAGATGGGCTTCTGCAGAGATGGGCTTCTGCAGAGATGGGCTTCTACAGAGATGGGCTTCTGCAGAGATGGGCTTCTGCAGAGATGGGCTTCTGCAGAGATGGGCTTCTGCAGAGATGGGCTTCTACAGAGATGGGCTTCTACAGAGATGGGCTTCTGCAGAGATGGGCTTCTGCAGAGATGGGCTTCTACAGAGATGGGCTGCTGCAGAGATGGGCTTCTGCAGAGATGGGCTCGTGCAGAGATGGGCTACT